CAAACGAGCTCCAATATTTTTTGTCACCAGAAAAATGGCCGCGGGCTTCTAGAAAACAGCAGACCCAGCTGACTGCTCTGCCGCTCGGAGACGGCGCGACAGTTTGAGAAAGTGTGGCCTGTTTGCACTGAAACCCCTGAATGTCAATGTCAGCATGCTACGTGACAGCCCAAATCCCAGAGGAGACCCAACATGTTTGGAAGATCAAAAGATCATTACCACACTGCTCCTCTCTCTCTCTCTCCCATTCCCCCTCTCTGTGGGGAACTTCAAAGCCACTCTGAAGTTTGAGAGAACGAGGGACAGATGAAGATAAAGTGATGGATCTAAAAACAGCCCTTGGAAATATGGCGGAGGTTACGGATAGACTCCTGCAGTCTCAACTCCGTCTTGCTGAAAGAGGCTCCTATGTGTGCCAGCTCCTTGTATCTTTGAAATGCCAGACGTTCGCCAAAAATGATCCCTGACAGCCCTGCTGCAAAAATTCCCATTTATTTATTCACCCATAAGTTGGTGGGTTAAATAATCTGCTTTTGTCTTTCTAAGTGGTGTTCTACCTGAACTGAGAAAAGCCCCAAAATCGCTGCTGAAATGTTACTGAGAGACAAGTAAAATCTTTCTTTTCAATTATAAATGATACAACTCATATTAAAAGGTAAGAATGGATCACCAAAAAATTATAAATAACTTATGCATGATATTAAATCATGTGTGTGTTGAAAGGTACATATTCTTAATTTTTAAACAAATCCTTAGTTTAACTTGCATATTATTGGATGAGTTACTGTCCAATCCAATCCATTTATACACATCTGCAAGAACAAAGAAAATCAAAAGGTCAAAGACTGTTTGAAAAAGAACTGATGAGTCCGGAAGACAATTTTTGAAAGGAAAACTTTCCAAACGATCGGAAAATTGAGTGCACAATGGAACAAATGATCCCCTTAATGAAACAGGCAAATGTCCCAATCCCAAAGCTGAACCTCCTCGAAGCTTTTCAGTATGAGTGCTTATTAAAGACAGTTATAGCTGCATGTACAGTCCTAGAAATACATCACGTACAAAAGGTTGGATACCAGAATAAACACTAATATTGAATTTAACAAGAAGAGCTTCAAACAGTCATACTGAAGGTAACCTGATTTTAACATATGCCATCTAGCACCATCAGAAAAGCACTGGCACTTGCAGCTGCCCCTCCCCCACCCGTTTCCCTCCAACCATCATTCAGCCTCGTCACATATAAATCTGCAAGGCAGTCACCTAATCATCATGATCCACCAAGATCTGAAGGACTGAATCTGGTGTTGTTGGGTTTAGGGACAGATCCACCAAGGAGGGGGGGGGGCATTTACTGTAGGATAAATCAACTGATCTGGAGAGAGTCAGGGCTGGGCCTTCCATCTTGCTTTGAGAAGCAGAGGATGGCTGTGGGACAGTGGATGACTGCAGCACAGTGGACGGCTGCAGGACAACGGACAGCTGTGTGGAATCGTGGATGGCTGCAAGACGGGAGATGGTTGCAGGACAGCAGATGACTGCAGGACAGCGAATGGCTGCTAGACAATGGACAACTACAGGACCGCAAACGGCTGCTGGACAATGGACAACTACAGGACCGCAAACGGCTGCTAGACAATAGACAATTGCAGGACAGTGGACACTTGCAATGACTGTGGAGCAGCATCACCAATGTGAACTCAGAAAGGCAACACATTCTCTGTTTACCCTCAGTACCTCACGGAAGATCAGGCAATTAAAATACAGTTTGTCTTTAAGTCATAGATTTTCTGCACTCTGGCTCAGTCATGGATCCAGAAGGCGCTACAGGCTTGAACTGGGAGCCATGTGCCATGATGAACCACCTTCTGTGACCATGGATATGATGAGTAGGGACACGTACAAAAAGATTGCTCTCCATTTCATAAGGTATGTCTAGCTCATTCCACCTTAAGCCTTACACTGATAACCAATCGGCATGCAGCAGTCATGTGACATACCCAGTGCCCTTCACGGCAGGCTGTTGATACCGATTACCAAGCCTGTGGATGCATTAAAGTCCATGGGCGCAGCCAGGTACCCTCTCAGCCACAAGATGTTCACTGCTTCCTAAACTGACCATTGAAACATAACAACAGTCACATGACACATTTCTGTAATCCACTGAAATATCCTGGTGAAGATTACCATCTTGCCCGAAGGGCGACGCATTATTCTTGGGCTCGAACGAGAGGCCAGTCACCCCTTTACACATTTAGCAGCTACTTTTATCCAAAGCAACAAACATTTTTAAGAAGCAGGGTCAGATGGTACCTGGAGCAACTGGGGGTTAAGGGCCTTGCTCAGGGGTCTGACAAGGAAATTACTCTGCTGACCTGGGGATTCGAACCAGCGACCTTCTGACCACAGACTCAGCATCATAACCTGCTGAACCACCCTCTGCAAGTGCACTGCCTGTTCACATTTCACATGCAAACAGCCTCCCACCAAATTCTGTGCTAAGAAATGTAATCAAGGTCTAAAAAAAGTTGCCATTGTTTCAGCTCTCATTCATAATTTCCCGAAAAATGTTTGTAGGCCAGCTAAATGCCTTCAGGATGATAAACAGGGAGGGAAATAGGGCGTGGGCTGAAGTGGAGGTGACCGGGATGAGGGTTGGACGTAACCGGGGCAGGGGAAGGACATTCATCACATTCTTTAACCTCCACATGACACTGTGGGCTGAACACAAAGAAAAAAACAAGGTGCATTATTTTTTTACAAATCGGTGCGTCAAAAGGCAAGTTCGTGGAAAAAGTCAATGCCCAGAAATGTGTGCAGTCTTTGTGAAGTCAAATCTACCTGACTGAAAACCAGGTGGGGAAGTCCCTTAACCCCCACCATCTCAGCCCCCGGCAACGAAAAACACCATAAACTTTAATAATCTGTCCTTCCCCATGGGACCCTAAGTTTGCAACACAGAGTACGGGGGGCTATCGGACGCACTGTGAGGGACATCGCAGAAATCACACTCGAGCATCTACAGACGCTTCTGAGATATTTACAAACAGTCAGTCAGTCATTTGATGATTCTAGTATTATACATAAAAGTAGACTGACTAAGGCCAAAGAGCATAAGCATCAATTGTAATGTGCTCATATTTAAGTGATAAGAGATTTTTAGGCAGATGACACAGAGGGCATCTACATACCCGTTTAATGCATTGCCCTGGGATGCATCTGTATGTTTTCCTTTGTATGACCAGATTATACAACAAGTACTGCTGGCTGCCATATTATATGATATTCTGACTTCATTCTGAACAGGTTTTCGGGATTTTAACAGTTTGTAAAAAGTCTTAACGAATGGCTTGTTCTTGCATCATCAATTCATTTTAATCTCTCAGGGGATTGTCTTATTAATTATGTTGTTGCTTTCCAGCTGCTTGATTTCTAGAACTTCAATACGGCCGACGGTTTAAAAACGCGTATTTCAGCGTTTATGGCTCATACAAATAAAACGGGCCAAACTGGTAAGGAAAGAAAACAATCGATAATTAATTACGCATTGACTACGCGCAAAAACGAGAACCGAAAGTCAGAGGCTCTTGTGCGATTTAAACGAGCTTCAATGAGTGAGTTAGGCGGGGTGAAAGGCTTAGTGAGATGCTTCCATTTAAAACTGAATCATCAGGACGAGCAACGTTCAGCTGTTTCAATATGTAAAGTGATAATAATTATCGAAATGCTGTATCGATTTGCTCCTCGTTTAGGCTTATTACACAGATAAATACTTCGACACGGAGAGCTTCACATACGACCAAACAAACGCTGTTCCCCAGCAAAGCGGTATTCATCAAGATATTTAACATTTTACTTGCCCGTTACACCCAAAATAAAGTTACTAGGAATAATATAATTAAAATGCATTGGGAAGACCATGACTCTTGTAAATGCTTATTTAAAAGCTCAACTGATTATGCTTTTTAATGCTAAATTAAAAGAGCAGCTTTTTGAGTTAATGAAATGTATATTAGACAGAAAGTGCTGTTGATTCCGCTAATGCCGTGTAAAATGCGCCGGCGGCCGTGCATGGCCATGTCCCGTAAAATCCGGTAACGGCATCCCTCATCTCCTGTTTCTGATCGTCTGCTGCAGATCTCCAACTTACTCTTTGCAGGTGCGTGTTTAAGCAGAGATCAAAAGCGAATCAGAAACAAAGAGGCTTTGGTGCCGCTGACAGCCTGACAGTCGAGTGGAAGCGCAGCGCTAAAAGCGCAGATTTGTCTCTGCTTTATCCGACTCTGACAGTAAAGTGTGCTGACAAACTACCCATATTCACCTTAAAGTATCCCGTTAAGATAGCTGTCCCCAAACATCAGTCTTCGATATTAACTTCATGCTATTTTATTTTAAAGCTGCATGTATATATACTATATATGTACATATCCTTTTTCATCGATCACTAATATTTCCGAAACTCTGACGAAGCGTGCATTATCATATTATTTTCGCCATGCATTTGCGGATTTACGGAGCAGGGGAAACGCGAAGCCGGCGAGCTTTGCTCTGTAAAATGCCTGTGCATCGCTGCTGGCAGGGCGACAGCGCCCGGTTCGTCTGGCCGCCTGTCAGTTTGGACAGAGCACCTGCAGGGTAGGAGGGCGTTTGCTGGGGAGGCAGGGCAGGGCAGGGGAGACCCCAGACCAGGGCTAAAACGTCAACATGAACAACTACTTCCAAAACGGCAATGGTATATAATATATACAATTTATTTTTTGAAAAGCAAAACTAAATAATCGCCTTTCCTGTATACCCGGTCCTTTTGATTTGCTCCAGCACGGTCAAAGCCGCCCTTTACCCGTTAATCTCCGAGCAACCGGAGACAATGCCCCCTTAATCCGCCGCTTTAATCCGGCTAGCTACACCTGCCCGGCGGCTCCTTCGCAGGGCTCTGCACCGCCACCTCGCTCCCGGTCCCCCTGGTGCCCTCGAAACCGGCCAGCCGAACCTCCGCTCACCTCGTTTGTGCTCCGTTAATACGCTGCTCCGGTTCGGCGAGCCGCTGGCAGGGTAGCGGCGGTATGGCTCCGGATGGGCCCGTGCACTGCCCTCCTCTCCCCAGCGCAGATCGGCGGCTTGCCTCAAAGCTGCGCTCCGCTCCTCTCCCGTCGCTCAGCGCTGAAGTGCTGGACAGCGCATTAAGCGGCGTCGATAATGGAGGGCGAGGCGACCGACGCAAAACGTACCGCCCTCTACAGGCGCGGAGGCGCAACTGCGGCGGGTTTCCTGCTCGCATAACTGCACGCGGACGCTGGACGGCGAAGATCCGTGCAGTATACGGTGCCACTGAAAGGCACGCAGGCGTTTCTTTCTTAATTTCTTAAATGGGTATTTATTTCTAAATTGTAAATATTTAGGCATTAGCCTTGATCTTTAATCAGGTTTGCAGAGCAGTCTGGATACAATAGAAATTTGCATGTCGCTAATTACTTATATAAAAGTCTTGATTCTAGTTTAAAATTGTAATCTGGAGAGATTTCGTAATCTAAATGTATATAACGAAATTACGGCTCTTCAGTTATACTGTGTTTGTTTCACAGAAAATATTTAATGTGCCAAAAATATATTGTCCAATACACATAATATATGTGAAAATATAAACCAATAAACATACAAACAAAATCAATGCGAAGGGGATTCATTAATGAAACTGGATTTTGATGAGATTCATTAGTATGTGCTATTTAGAGCGAGGTATGTTTGATGCGCCCGAAACTTGGTGATTTTACACAGGCGCTTATGGCGAAAGTAGTACGTTCGGGTGTCTGTCGCCATCTAGTGGACGATGTTAGCGTGCTGCGTTACCACCATATTACTCATGTTCCAACAGCAGGACGATGTGGAATATTATAAGCTACCGAATAATTATATTGGAAACTATAGCACTATTTAGTTTATAATATGGTAAGTTGGCTTAATCTCTGTATTTGTTAGAAATATGTGTGCATATAGACCTAATTAGAAGGAGCATCATTTTGAATGCAATGTATTTAAACTGTACAAACAGTGTCTTGTTAGCGTCTAAGACGCCCGCAGCATTTGTGTCCACTGATAAGTCAAGTCTTACTCAAACCCAAATTAATTAAGAGACCCTCGCAAACACGGTCGGACTCGCGGTTGCTTCCTGCTTTGCAGCGATCGGAGGCCATCGAAAGGGACCCTCCTATTCTCTCGGAGAGGCTTAACCCTGCGGTTGCCGCGCCCCAATGTTGAGGTACTCCGGGCAGGGACGCCTGGCACCTTCGAGTCTGTCGAGCGTCCGTTTAGCGCCAGTCCTGCCAAGAGGGAGTTCAGAACCTTGGACAGCACCCCACGTCAGGTCCAGAAATCTTTCTGCTCCAGAGAACGTAAACAGCAGATTTGTTTGTTTGTTTATGAGGGGGCCATACAATTCCTCTGTTTTCATAACGGGACCCCCCTCAGTTGATAATCGTTGAAGGGAATTGGTGTGCTTTCATAACCTTATAGCAAGATGTAGTTAGAACGGCCCTCCAGGACACGGTATTTCAAACTATCCTTCTGAGAAATTAAAGATTTAAAATAAAAGCATAGTGCTGTTGCATTATTTTCACAAAGATTCCTGCTCATCCTGAACATAACAGCTTTAATTACATCACCTGAGGCACCGTGGATAGCAAATCACATTATAGATTTGAGATAATAGAACAATGTTACCAAGGCAATAAATCAAAAAAATTCTAGGCAGCACAGGGTACATCCTGAACGGGATGCCAGTCCATCACACGCCAAACACGTACGTGCTAACAGCATAATGGCAATTTAGAAATGCTAATTTACCTGACTGTCTGTTAGACTGTTTTAATTTACTGCATGTCTTTGGACTGTGACAGGAAACCCACCAGCAAGGTGAGAGCATGCAAACTCTCATCCACAGAGCGAGGCTGGAGTTTGAAGATTTAAAATACACCAACTATGTATGTGTGAGGTAACATTGTTATTTACTGAGCCAGTAACTTTTATTTTTCCAATAAGATTTTGCAGTAAATTGTTAATGGATGAAACAAATTAATAAAGCTGTCTCAAAACAAAAAACAACAAAAAAGACCCAAAAATGTCAACCAATTTAAAATGGAAAGTAAACCAGGATGGAACAAATGGATTTTAAAATGATATATTTGTTTTCACAGCTATAGAATAAAAGAAAAAATTCACAAAACTTGATTGTTGTGACCTTTAAATTCTCATCAGCAGAAGCAGTATGTACCTGAACTGACAGCTGGATCACAAGTTAGTTCAGAACACAGGAACTTTCCATGAATTACAGGAAAGAATCGGTAGAACCATGAGTCAAATAAAAAGGAATGTTCACAGTTGGAGGTGCCCCAGCCAAACTCCGCCTTCACCGGGCCCCACCCCTTGCTAGGCCACACCCCTTGCTAGGCCCTGCCCCTTGCCAGGCTCCATCCCTCGGGAATGAATTCAGGCAGCTGCCTGTGGTCAGTCCGGGCCTGGGCTGTTAGGAGTACTCGCTGGGTGGGTGGGCTTGGGTGACAGCGATGGTGGCCTGCTCTGGGACCAGGCTGGGGTCTGTCAGAATCGAGGTGGAGGTGCTCAGGAGGCGGAGTGAACTCAGGACGGCTGCGGGACATGAGCAGCAGTAAAACCATTAACATCAAGGTGGTCAAGCAACCCTTATGAGTGTTACCTATTTACATTAGTGCTTCCATAAACCCTATGCATCTCGGATGTTTTGTGTGTCTGGATTTAGTTAACTCGGTTTCATGTCAGATAAGAGCTGCCTGTTTTTATGATGTTTGGCTACAGTATATAAATAAGCATAGAGAGTAAAGATCACCCCCCGCAGAGCCTCTTACCGGGTCGCAGCGCCGGCAGGGAGCAGTGCCGGTCCAGCCAGGACAGCGTGGTACGGCACAGGTCCTCCACGCTGGCTGTGGACACCATCCCATTGTAGGACTCGAAGAGCGGCTCAATGATGACGCTGAACTGCGAACAGGGAGGAGTTAGGGAAAGTAGACTCATGGGGAGGGGTCTGTGGCCGTCAGGGGCTGCTGGCCATTGGGGGCCATCGGAGGCCGGTTTGGCCATTTTGTTCCAAAGAAGCACCAAAACCCTCAATGATTGAAACTTTGGCTGCTGAACAGAAGTCCATGTTTTCTGGGACCCACAACTAAGTTGAAGAACCATGGAGTTGCACTGTCTTCATCAGAGGTGGATAGTTCAGGTCCAGAAAGTAAAAATCCAGACCAAGATTTTATTTCAACCAACCAGTTGAGTATAAAGAGTCACAGTCACAGAATGTTAGACAAAAGCAATCAGGTAAATAAATGTAAATGTAAATGTACACTACATAGGCAATAACATGTAGACACTCCTGTTAATCAGAGGACTTGCTTATTTAAGCTAAACCCGTTACTGATGCAGGTGTATAACTAAGTACAATCACAAAATCCTGCATAAAGCATTAGCAGCAGAATGTAGGCAAGTGACTTTCTAATTGGCACCATCATAAGACGCCAATGTTCCAAACAAATCGAATCACCACATCTCTGTCCTGCTGAAGTTGATCTAGTCAGTTCAGTTGTGAAGTTTGTAGGTCACACAAGCTCACAGAAAGGGACCTGATCACCCAGCATCGACATCCAACCTGAATGGCAGCAAATCCCACCAGCAATGTTCCAATATTAAATGGAAAGCCTTACCAGAGGATTAGCTATCAAATAGCAAGTAAATATTCCCAACTTCATTTTAGATACCTTAGTTCTGGAATGAACTGTTGGGCAAGCTGGTGTCCACAAACTCATGGCTATACAGTGAATGTTAGCAGAAATACAAACATTCCCTTGCTCAAGATGAAGGTCTATCAAAGACAAAAACAAACACACCCACTTACACACACACACACACACACACTATGGACTATATTCAAAATGTCCACCACACCTTCTAGGCCAGGGGTCTCCAACTCCGGTCCTGGAGAGCTACCGTCCAATAGGTTTTCTATCCTACCTGGCTTCTGATGAGCCACACCTGTCCTCAGGTAAATACCAGGAACAGGTGTGGCTCATCAGAAGCCAAGTGGGACAGAAAACCTACTGGATAGTAGCTCTCCAGGACCGGAGTTGGAGACCCCTGTTCTAAGCCATCCCTCCACTCTTGATTTCTCTATACCACCCTGTGGGAAAAAAAACCCACCCTATTATGGCCACAGACACATTTTCAGCCCAGAGCTGTGATGAGGATACAATCCAGAACTTCCAGTTCTGCAGCGTCTGTGCCCGGACATATTCCCGGAACATCGCCCTCATGTGGTCGAAACGCTGCCGTGTGATGGGCACGCCTGTGGCGGGCAGCTGCTGCTGGCACAGGCTGCGCAGGGAGAGAGGCGGAGCAAATAAGGTCATGAGTTCAAGCCCCAGAAGAGGGTCTGGACTTTGTTACATGCACCTGTGCTCCCATTCGTCAGCATATCAGCTATATGATTATATATATATATATATATATATTCCCCGTCTGCCCATGCACCCGTCAGCAGCAGCCTGCATCCCTCCTCAGCCCAGCAGGTCCTTACTTGATGGCTGAGTTGAGGCCCACGATCTCGTCACGCAGCCTCTGTGCCTCCTCGTGGAGCTGGGCTCGCTCCTGCTGCACCTTCCCGATGTACTCCCCTGTCTTCTGCAGCGTTGTGGCCTTGCTGATCTGTGGGGATGGCGGGTGGCTTGTGAGCGTGACACCAGACCCGACCCGGCCTGCCGCCCAGCATTATCCGGAACCTACTACAGAAAGGGTGTGGAGCAGCACATGCTCTGTGCGCACTGGGCGCGGGAAGCCGGTGGTCAGGGAATCCCGTTTGTGAGAAAGTTTTCTGGCACATGTTTCAGAAACTCTTCTAAACAATCTATTTTTATATAGCGCCTTTTCCGACAGAGCGCGTAACAGTGACACTGACAGACTACAACAGAAGAAAGTAGCTCCAAAGATGGATCAGAGACAAACACCCCTTGGGGTCGAAGGTCAAACCCACACGGACATGCCAACAATGAACGTGTCCGCAAGGAGCATACATTCCTGTGTTATGTGTCACGGGTGAGCAAACCATTTGGACCATTTAGACACACCAACCATATTTTTATTCACTTTCACCCTGGCAGAAGCTTCCAGGCTGTGCCCCCCCGCCCCCGCCGGAACTCACCTTCACTCCTGGCTGTGCGCTCAGCGTTGTCACCAGGCTCTGCAGCGTGTCGAAGCCCAGCTTGATGTTGAACCGCCGTTTCTGCTCTGCTGAGATGTGCGTTATCCTCCGGCTCTCCGTCTGCGGGACATTTGGGTTCCGGGGGTCGTGACCCACGACACAACGACAAGCGTAGCCTCAATGTAACCGGTCAGATGTAAGGTCAAGGGTCTCTGCAGTCATTTAGCTTAACTTCCTGTGTTGGTCCCAGACACCACCGGAGACATGACCATTCAGTCCATAAATCCACTTTCAGACCAATTTTCCTGTGGTAATATTCAATTTAATTCAAGGCAATTCACCCTTACATAATACCCATCTCTCAGTTACCTCAGAGCATTTTATGCTTGTTGTTTTACTTACGCAAAAATGTTCTGAGGGCAGAACAAAAAAATGATTGGTTCAAAGAGATAACCAATCATACTGTAGAGGAGCCAGGTCCAAGCAACTATAGGAGGTGGGACCAAGACATCTGATTGGTTGGTCTGATATCTGACCAAGATCTGATTGGTTATCGCTCCGAAACAATCATTTTTTTGTTCTGCCCTTAGAACACTTGTGTAAGTAAAACTCCCATGAGCACTTTTTACAGGTATATATAAGCACACCCTGAGCACCACAGAAGGAGAAAGAGTCTGGGGGCAGCAGAGAAAAAGGGCAAAGCCCTCCTTCAGATTGAACTAGTAGGAGAAACATCAGCAACCAAACTAGGTTAAATGGATGTTCAAACAGCTGTATCTTAAGTTGTGATGCCTTCACTATTCCTGCGATGCTTCTGTTCATCAGCAAGAAATAAATGATCAAAAGAAACAATCAGGTGGTGAAATGAATAAAAGATGTACAAGAACAGCTGATTAAAAAGAGTCTCCTCAGTGAGGAGACGGTGAGTAAAGGCCCACCTTGGTCGCTTCCATCTTGGGCTGCCTGGAGAAGGAGTGTGATGCCTGCAAGCCTGATACTCTTTCTGCTGGGATTGTAGGGGAAATTTGACCAGAATTCCCTGAGAAAACGACTGCAGATATAGACAGCTTATGGCACAAACTGCAACAAATGTGTCTCACACATATCTAGCAAACATCATGTTCATTGGGCCTCTTTGGCGTTCAGCCTTACAGGGTACAAGCAACAATATAGATAAACAGCATTTGCTGGCCTCTGTAGGCCAGTCTTGGTATTGCAGCTGTAAATGAGGGGAAACCCTCCAGGACTGGAGTTTGACACCCCTGCTGTAACATGACGATATTCACACAAATTGGCCCATAGGGGGAGCAGCTCCTCACCTGTCAGGCTGGCTCTCTCACTGCCATAACTCTGTATCGGGGACAGCTGCTCCGTCTTGGGGACGAGCAGAGGCACGCAGCCAGGCAGAGAATTCTGGGAGAGCAGGGCGGATATGGCAGAGCCCTGTAACAGACCAGGCCGTGGCCCCAGAGGGGCCCGAGGGGGACTGTGCTGCCTTGAGCCTGTGGCGCCACCAGCCTGGCGGGACAAACCCACAGGAAGGCGGGTCATTAGTGGCCACATATATTACATACATATAACTGGGACGCCTTTGCAGGAGCCCCACTCAAAAAGTTGCATTGGGGCCCTCCGCTCCCCCAGTGCAGTAACTGCTTGTGGCCAACAGGGGACCTCCAAACCTCAGGGGCCCCATGCATATGCGTGGTTTTAATGGTGGCAAACACTGCCGCTACCAATAGAGCAAATCCGATCCATGGGACATGGGGAGGGGCTCCAAAAAGACACATCTAGGGTGACCAGACAATCCATGTCAGGGAGGACACTTTGAGCTACTTCGGGTTTTACAAACTACTTTCAAATTGAAAGGCTCCTGTGCTCGGCTAAATAATTCAGCTCTTCTTGTGCTTTGACTGGATTGTTTCCTTGACTGAAAGACTCATCCAGCTGTTTCACATTAGCATTAGTGACACATGCGTGATTATAGGACACTGACCAATCAGCACGCAGCAAGAACTCAGCGCTTAAGTGAAATCTTTTTAATTGAAATGGCAGTTTACAAATCCTGTTCTACCTCAAAATGTCCTCCCTGACATGGATTATCTGGTCATCGTACACACATCCTGTGGAGTGAAATTCTTGGGTGTTAAAAATTACGTAGAGCAGTCGGACTCACTGCATTTTTCCACTCTCCCAAATAAGCAAGCCGTCCCCAACCCGTACCACAAACTGGCGGTTTTCCATTGTAAATTACGTCAGCCATACCCGTGCTGACATGGTCCTGCATACTAACTGGGCTGAAAGCGTGACCAAACTCAGCTGACTGTGTCATCACCATCTGATTGGTCGAAATGCACGGAGGTACCGCTGTTCTGTGCATGGATTATCTGAAGTAAAAAAGGATATATTCTATTTACTATTCATTAGTATTTTTGTACATTGCGAAGTACTGCTGCATTCCAAACTCCTACTTAAAAAAGTATTACAGAACAGAATAGAATGGATTCGTAATGCAAATTTACGCAAGCAAATGCTAATTCCGTTAGCATATGATGCTTGCATAACATGCCGATTCTCAGAGATGTGCTAGTAAATTAGGAAATTAGCCCAAAGTAAATCATAATGTACGCTGCGCAAACAGTGAATAAGCGCCTCTTCAATTTCACATCACCGCCGTCGCTCTCCAAACCCAGCAAGGTATGGCTCAGTTCCTGTGTTCCGGTGGAAAAGCGCCATCGGGGAAAGTCTTCAGTGACCAATGTAAACAGATTAGAATGTAAATCAGTAAGAGAAGTGAAAATGACTGAAACTCACGGGGTGGCTGGGGGATGTCGAACTGGGACCTTTGGCTTCTGCTGATAAAGGATCAAAGCCTAACGCCGGCTTACCTGCAGACAGAGACAGAGAGCGAGTGTGACGTTCAGGCGGGTTGCCAGATGATGCTCCAGGATGAAAGCGGCAAACCTGGACATGGATGTATGGGCACGCTGAAGCGCTCACGCGCCGTACGTACGCTCCGGCCTGCTCCCGGACAGCAGCTTCGCCAGACAGCTGCCCTGCATCGGCGACACCTTGGGGGCAGAGCTCTTCATCCCAGGGCTCTTCTGCTTGCACTTGCCTCTGCCGCTGACCCGCTGGGCCTCCGGGAAGCCGAGCCGCACGGCCGGAGGGGGCGGAGCCGTGTGGGTTGTGGGCAGCGGGCCGAAGCTTGGCGCCGGGTATGGGACGGCGGTGAACGCCTCCGGGTCGGGGTAGCCATGCGCCAGCGCGTCCAAGACCCCAGCTGTGGAGCCCGTGTGGGTGATGACTGAGGCCGCAGCTGGTGAGCCGTACCTGTACTTCAGGCAGGCTGTGGCGTATAAATCTGAGTTTTCCTCAGCGGCCACAGGGGCGGCGTTCATGAAAGGCTGCTGCCCAAAGGACATCGTCCCGGGCACCAGGCTCGAACCAGGATACTCATCCTGAGAGCTGAAGCCCATCTGTCCTTTGTACTTGGCTTCCGGGGTCATGCTGCTGGGGTTAAAGGTCATTTCTGAGGTCACAGGTCTGTGGTAGCAGGGTTCAGAGGAGACTGGCACCATCCGGTCTCTGCTCTCCGAGGAAAGGTTAGCCTGTGAAAGATAGACAAGCACTGACCCAAACAAAGCCATCCTGTGTGCTGTAGACAGGGGGTACAAAAGGGAGAGGAGCAAGTACTTCTACCCAGAAAAACAAAGGTCAGTGGTTGTTCCCAGGATGACTGCTTCAGGGAGCAGGGCAGCAAACGGACCTGCAGCAGCTGAGTGTCCGCTGGCAGGAGCGAGACGGGTGGCACCAGGCCGGGCGGCACCGGGAAGGAGCTCCCAGGCAGACTTCCAAAATAGCCACACTCTGCAAAGCCGGCCTGATCCGGAGGCTGACCGCGGCAGCTCGAGAAGAAGTCTGCAGAGACGAGGGCAGCAGCAGAGCATTTTACGGAGGCTCGTGTGGGGTAGGGGGTGGTGATCACAACAGGGGTCTCTAAATACCAGCCACCAGGCCACATTTCGCCAGTGACATGTTGTTCATTTATTACTAAATCTGGCTCGCGGATCATTTTCTAGAGGATAAAAAACAATGGGTAACAATTTACATTAACTGCACTTTCATAATCCATTCATTGTAATGTATTCATAGAACATTCATAAGCAGAATGTAAGTATACCAAAACATCCTTACATACATTTGCAGCTTTAATATACATTAATAACAAACATAATATAATAACAAACATTGTAATCGTATATTCATATAATGCTTGTTATTAACGTATATTAAAGCTATTAAGGTATGTTAAGATATACATACATGCTTGTTATGAATATTCTATGAATGCTTTATGAATGCATTACGAAGGTGCACTGAATGTTCTATGAATGCATTGCGAGGGTGCACTGAATGTATTATGAATGCTTTATGAATGCATTATGAAGGTGCATTGAAAGTTCTATGAATGCTTTATGAATGCATTATGAAGGTGCAGGTAATGTAAAGTGTTACCAAACAATGTAACGTCTGACAATCAGTACCAGCATCATACCCTGGTCAGCTAGTTCCACTGTTGGTTGTTTCAAGGAGTATTAGTATATACGTTTGTATCATTATTCCCCCTCATTTCTCTTTCTAACCGCAACCAGCCCACTTAAGCTGCAGACCTCCTAGGCAGTGACCCTCAGGTTAATAGGGTTAGAAATTTTAGGTTTCGGAAGCCGCCCTGTCTTACGTGCTAGGCTCTGAGCCCTGACCCGAATCACACCCCTGCAGTGAAGTCACATGGCTCTGGGCGAGTGAGAAGGGTGGCCAGATCCGGAGCAGAGTGAGGCATGCAGGAACGATGCGTGTGTTTAGCAAAACGGACAGACAAACACCAAGTTTGCAAAAAAAAAACACACAATCATTTAAACAGAACCTGAAAGGCGCCACAGCTGATGGTGATGGTGAGAGGGGAATAATAGATCAAATCTGAGATCTAGTCCTGCACCTCATCTTGGTCTTATGTTCACATTTATGGTAAAAACAAAACTGCAACCGTGCAATGAGCAGGGAGGAGGGATATACTCAGTAAAGTAAAGCTGTTGACAATTCATTTTTCACTCCTTTCACATTTGGGCTTTTCCCTGAGTCATCATTCGATTGGGCAAGGGGGTTTATTAACCGCACTGAGAGCCCCCCAGGTATTAACCGCACCGAGAGTGCCCCCCAGGCATCGGGTTTTCGCTTCTGCGTTTGGCCGAAGTGCAAGCCTTGCTGACTCCCCAGTCAGCCCGCAGTGCTGATTTACACCCCGGAGTGGCAGCTCCTCTCTGAACTACCTAGGAGCCACTAAAGCCACCAGGAAGGAGCACAAAGCATGTTATCAAAAGACTAACACTGTCTGACTTTGTCTGGGATGCTGAAGAGCTGTGTGACATGAGGTGACACTCAGGCCATCACCATGACATAGGGAAGCGACAAAAGCATAACATCCAACTGTACTCCACGTCATCATCTGTCTGTCTGCTCTTACAGACCATCACCATCCAGCTGTACTCCACATCCCATCATCCCTCTGTCTACTCTTACAGACCATCACCATCCAGCTGTACTCCACATCCCATCATCCCTCTGTCTGCTCTTACAGACCATCACCATCCAGCTGTACTCCACATCCCATCGTCCCTCGGTCTACTCTTACAGACCATCACCATCCAGCTGTACTTCACATCCCATCGTCCCTCTGTCTACTCTTACAGACCATCACCATCCAGCTGTACTTCACATCCCATCATCCCTCTGTCTACTCTCACAGACCATCACCATCCAGCTGTACTTCACATCCCATCATCCCTCTGTCTACTCTCACAGACCATCACCATCCAGCTGTACTCCACATCCTGCTGTTTTCCTGTCGATGTAAATACAGTGCCGCCATGACCCCTCTACCCTAACAGGGCTGCTATCTGCAGATAAATATGGCCCCTGACCCCTGTCTCCGCCTTCTCCTCATCTTCATACTCTTTACAGATATTTATATACTTTACAGTTGCCTGACTGAGCATGTTACATTATGAGGTGTCACCCCCGGATTATCCCATCTGGTCCCGGTGAACATGCACCTGTAGCAGATGGAAGATGACAGGAAGTAGCAGGTGGACGCAGTTGCCCATAATCATAAACCATCTGACTGGAGTAAATGTAATAAAAGGTACAGCAAAGTCAGCGCCTGTGTTTACCACCACTCAAGCCACATATTTATGTGGGGCCCCTGAAGTATAGGAGTCCCCTGCTGGCCACAAACAGTCACTACACTATGGATGGCAGGGGAATGTAAAAAAATTTATTCACACACACACACCACTTGAAGTATCATTAACCACCCAAAAAAAGACAGGTGGTGAGGGGGGCAGGACGCAGAGCCCAGTGGGGGTCCTACCCGGGATGTCCATGAAGTCGTCCAGGATGGGCTGCAGGGGCGTCAAGCCAGGTTGGATCATATCAGCGTTGCTGCTGTAGGCTGTAGGAGGGAGGGAGAGTGCCATCAGAAGGGAGGGAAGCCACACGCCGGTCCGTGTATGCGTGTGAGCGAGAGTGTTTGTGAAGGGGGCGGGTCCCTCGCACTGGCACGAGTTCCTCAAACAGCCCCCCCCGACTGACACATCCGCAGGCTTTCACTTGCAGGAATCACAAGTGCACACAAGTGCACACCCTCACCAGTGGGGGGGATGTGGGACAGGGTCTCTGCTGCGCGTCTACCNCTGCTGCGCGTCTACCCACTGGGAGGGGGGGGGGTAGGGGTGGTTACTCACTGTTGTGACCGTCCTCAGCCCAGGGACAGGATTTCTGCGTCATGGTGAACAGGGTGTCCGAGATGTCAGACAGGAAACAGTCCAGGTCAAACATATGGCCCTCGGCAGCCGTGGGCTTGGGCTCCTGGGAGAGCTGACCAGACCATCTCTCCCGGGCTGCTCCGCCCACCGGGTCCTGCCATGCAGACAGGAGAAACTCAGCGAGGGCTGACATGTGTCCCAAAACATCTGGCAGAATCTGGGTGATGTAAGGAACTTTTAAATCCATCCTCGTACCCCTAAACATAAAACACGTATGAAACATTCAGGAAGGAGCACTGATGGAGAAACACACGGTACTGCCGATTGTGAACAGTCATTTCTCAACATACAGCTGAAAAAGGCAGCGCCGCCCCCCAAATGGAGAGAGCTGGAACATATACATGCATAAGTTATACACAGTCACGGTAAAACAGACAAAATTGTCCTGAGCCAAGCAGCAGAGTCAATGCTGTTGATTCCATAGCAGTAAAGACACAGAAATTAAGTCATGCTGGAGCGGAAGTAATGAATGATAGAAAGGTTCCTTCTACACCCACTTGCCATGCCATAACTTTTGACCTTTGATATAGCCTTTGACCTTTGACCCCATGGTCACTGAATGAAAAGTCCTAATCACAGCAAACAGCATGCATTTAAATTTCTGGCTCTCACAAGAAATCAGCAAGAAGAAGACAGAAGTGTGAGCGTGCACACGCCAGATAAGTCACTCCAAACGGCACTTTCTGCGTGTGTTCGGGGTCGGTGAGGGATGAACCTGTAGATAAACCCCCCGCCACAGCCAGCCACCCCACTACCTTGGGGGGACAAATAAAAATACAGGGCAAATAAACCCACCTGCTGCAAGACGGCCCCCCTGAGGGGAGGGAATGGCAGGACTTACAGCAGCGAGGGTCCAGACCACGCTGCTCCAGGCACAATAAACCCACCTGCTGCAAGATGACCCCCCTGAGGGCAGGGAATGGCAGGACTTACAGCAGCGAGGGTCCAGACCACGCTGCTCCAAGCACGCTGTATGCTCCCCTTCACCTCGGCGCCGTTTGCCTTACAGAGTCGCCCGGGGGCCAGATATAGAGCCGGCACAGAAATAAATAAAGAAGCACCAGCCGGAAGTTCAGATTAAGCCTCACCGACGGCAGCCGCCGCCCCCCATGGTAAGGGGAGGCATGGCGGCGGAGGGGGCCAACACAGGTGGGCGGGTCTGCCGTGTCTCCGTAACACCTAACCTCCCTCCCACCCTGTGCTGACGTCCACAGAAAGCAGAATGCTATCGTGGGGTTTGTCTGTGTGTCTCGCGGGCCACTGCCGCCTTTGTCCTTGACCTAATTCAGCAGCATCGGACACGTGCTGAGTGTGGGGGGGGGGGGTTTGCTCTCCCTGCAAGGACACAGCCCCCCCCCTTCCCCCCCCTCCTCCGGTACCTGACCTGGGGACTCCGGGGAAAATCCCTGGCTGACGTATTTAGCCAGAGTTGTGATTTTCCCAGTTCCTACAGCGGGACGTGTCACTCGAGGGATGAGTGGGCCAGGAACTCACCCCCACCCGGGATTCAGACCAGCACGCTACAGGCTGGGGTCCTTAATCCTGCTGCTCATTAGGCAATCACTAAGTGCAAAGCGGGTCTCTAAACATCACCACTAAGCTGCACAGCCCTCTTCCACATCCGATTATCCAGCTGTCACAGTGAATCTGGAGCCTGTCCTCGGAAGCACAGGGCAGGGACAGGGCAGGGACAGGGCAGAGACAGGGCAGGGACAGGGCAGGGACAGGGCAGAGACAGGGCAGGGACAGGGCAGAGACAGGACAGAGACAGGACAGGGACAGGGCAGGGACAGGACAGGGACAGGACAGGGACAGGGCAGGGACAGGGCAGGGACAGGGCAGGGACAGGACAGAGACAGGGCAGGGACAGGGCAGAGACAGGGCAGAGACAGGGCAGGGACAGGGCAGAGACAGGGCAGAGACAGGGCAGGGACAGCCTGGACTAGATGCTGGTCCATCGCAGAGTCGCACACATCCTAATTCAGAGACGCCAATGCACCTAGCAAAGTGTTTGTGGACTGTGGGAGGAAACTGGAGTACCCAGGGTTAATATGCACATCCAGAGAGAGAGCGAGAGAGAGAGAGAGAGAGAGAGAGAGAGAAAGCAGCCTACACCCAGAAATCAGGGGTCACAATGGAACCTGCAACCCTGGCACACTGAGTCATGATGCTGCCTGCTGAAATACATGCACAAAAAACAGCTACTCACCTGTAGACAGGTCCCGTAAGTGAAAATGTCACATCTTAAAATATTAAATCAAAAGAAACATTGTTTCTTTATTCTTAGTCACACAGAAAGCAGGCTGTCTTGTGCCCATGGAGAAGCATCATTTTAGGGTGAGCACAGACTCAAGCAGGTGACCCTGCTGGGGAGGGGGCGGGGGGGCGCCTTAGGTGGGCAGTGGCCTGCGGGGGCCCTTCAGCCCAGGGCCACTGGCTGCCAGGCACGGCCATGCTTATGCTTATTGAGCACTTTCACACACACACACACACACACACGCCTAGCATTACCTGCTGGGAAGTGGGTCACTTTTGATTAAGCGGCATTAAATCAGGAGGAGCGCCGAGGCTGATGGGAACCACGCAGCCGGAGATTAGAGGCAATCAGAGCCATGAGTGACGGCGGGCGTGACGGCAGCAGCTTCCGGGGCTGCGCCTGCCCTGTTTCTCCCGCACTGACCAGGGCCAGGGAGCTCTGACGGGCTCTATTATTAGACGGCTCGCGGGGGAATGTTTGCAAACGCCTGCGAAACAGCTAACCTACAAACACACTGCGGCAGAGTCGGGGGCAGACATCACAGCCGGCCCGGGGTTCAAAAATGGAAAGAAAATTAGAGTAACTGAGGCCGGGGCCCACAAACACCTGGCGGGGCCCGTTTTAGCCACAAACAGACGTGGCCCCTTGACACATAAAAGATCACAATGAAACTAAATCATCGTTATCCAGGAATGATGAATCCTGCATTTCTTAAACGGAAAACATATGTTAGATATAGATATAGATTATATGAAAATACGACAGTTTATAGAATCTTAAAGCTCTCTACCTCATTTTACAGCCTAAACACATATCTACAATAAACCATATATACTATATTCTTATAATTACACTATATTGTTCAGTTACATTACATTCCTTAATTACACCATATTTTTTAACTACACTAGCTTGGTTTAACTGCACTACATTATTTATTGTAATTCAGCTAATTGCTGGTCTACGTCCTCAGAAGATTCTCTCCAAAATAACAGCATTAAGGTCATTCACATTAAGCACATGCAAGTGAAAGGTGACAGGTGGTAACAGGTGGTGACATAAGCAAAAATCATTTTAACAACAAAGATACAAATAAATGAATAAATCAAAAGTGTCAGCAGTGCTGTATATTTGATAAAAATGAAAAGATGACAATTATAACAACAGTTGAACGCGCACAATTACATATATTAGGCTTCCCCAATGCCAGTCCAGGAGGGCCAAAATCCAACACAGTTTGCAGATTTCCCTGTTCGAACACGCCTTCCAAACCTGGTTATTAGCTAATTAAGATGTGTTTGAACAGGGAATTCTGCAAACTGTGTTGGATTTTGGCCCTGCGGGATGGGAATCGGAGAACCCAACATACACCAATAAGTCAAAACATTATGATCACCCCCATCGGACACAAAAAATGTTGGCTATTTGGTACAAACAGCGCATGTCAAGTTCTGGGATATATTAGATGGTAAAGCCAACATTCAATATTTGTAGTCAACGTGTTGACCCAGTAGTCTGGCCGTAATGATCTGGCCCTTCCCAGAATCACACAGACCTTTATTACTGTCAATTTCTTCTGCATTCAACCTGTCGTCTCTGAGTACCAAATGTTAGGATACTGGGTAATACATCCGAGACCTTGACAGACCGTGTTCCGATGAGTCTGCATTATTCAGTTCACACGGGGTGGTCATAATCTTTTGGCTCATTGGTGTGTAAATCTATATGTGTGTGTGTGTGTGTGTGTTTACCCCCCCCCCTCCATAATCACTAAAGTATCACGGTAAACCCCGTAGATCATTTCAAAGAGTAAATAAATGTCTAACTCACCTTCTCCATAATGGACAGGACACCATCCTTATGCTTTTGAAGCTGAAATGGTGCAAAGCGCTATTAGCACAATTAGCACACAAGAAACTATTGATTACACTTTTACTCAGAAATCCTCCTCCATCGATAGCTTTACACATGAGTAATGTCTGCCAGGCAGACTGAAGGAGGAGGACAGATCGGGGTCATGAGCCTTAACACAATATTTAGGCTGCACTCGCTCTCGAACGCAGGCACAAACACCAAGGGCAGTTCCGAGTCGCTGTTGTGCAAGAGCATGATGTGGCTTTGAGCACCTCAAGGATCAGCAGAGGCCTGAACCACCCACTGAGCCACTAAGAAGGAGCTTCAACCCCACTGGGCTGGAACCAGCAGAGCCATGGTGCTCATGGCTCAGACCTGCCCACTGCAAATACTCACCCTCTTCTTAATAATAATAATAATAATAATAATAATAATAAT